AGAAGGTTGGGGTGAGGGAGAAGAGAAAGATCAGGTGATATTTCTGCCTAATACACCTGTAAATTTTTGAGGGTATCATCTGTAGAGATATGGGAGAGCTCTAATGTGGCCTTATACTGGCTGCAAAGCCCTTTCTGCCCCAGTTATCTTAGTCCCTGGACTGGCTGCCATGCCACCAAGGCATTCTCCAGGGCTACCAATGATAAGCCTGCCTTCCTTCCTTTTATTGGCCATAGTGCCACTTCCAGTTGGCAACTTCTCTCTAGTGCCAGTCCTGCTCACAGAGTTGAAACACAACTCCCAGTACTCCTATATTCATGAGGTAGTAAGTTACCTATCCATCCCAGGAGATGTTCAAAGCAATAGCTGCGTGACCACTTGCTGGGGATGCTTTAAAGGTAATTTCCAAGATTATAGGGTAATAAATAAGATTTAATACAAGCCCTCATGAGGCTTATAATCTAGTCAAGCAAACATGACAAATGTGAAAATAAACACAATGCATAATGAGTACCTTGGAGAAATGCAAAACAAAGTATTTTCTAAGGTCTGAAGAGGGAAATGTTGCTATTGACTTGGTGTGATGAGGATCCAAAAGAAGTGGTATTAGAGCTGGAATTTCAAGAATGGATAAGAACTCAATAGGCAGGGGGAGAAGAAAAGTCAGGTCAGAAAGAGGAGGGTGCTGTAAGCACAGGGTACAGCATGAACAAAAACATGGAGGCAGAAAAATGAAAAACATGTTGGGGGGACAGCAATCTATCCAGTGCGGCTGGAGAATAAAGCATGTAGAGGAAAGTAGTATCAAATAAGGCTAGAAGAATAAGAGATGCCTTTGATGAGTTCGGGTCAGTAGAGCCAGATAGATTGCATCCTCAGGTGCTGAAAAAAAAATTGGCAGATTGGCTAAGCCATCCTCACTGTTCTTGGAAAGTTCATGAAACGAGGGTCAGGTACCACGGGGCTGGAAAAGGGCAAATGTTGTCCTGGTTTTCAAAATAAAAATATCAAGTAGGGGAAGGGGGGGAAGAAAATGGACTCTCCAAATAATAGGCCAATAAGCTTAACTTCAATTCCTGTCTATTCTAAAATATATTTTTAAAGAAATGATTAGTGTTATCTAGAGTAGGAAAGTGATCATCACAAGAACACTGGACAAAATATAATAAAAATGAGATTTAATAATGATTCAATTCTTATACTTGTTTTTAGAAAATCAACTTCAGAAATAAAAGATTGGGGAGCCATTATGGCCAGACAGAAGTCTGGAGAAGATTTGGGTGTTTTATTGAACTGTAAGCTCAGTGTGAGTCAGCAGTGTGATATGGCAGCCAAAAAGATATCATCGAGAAAGGAAAAGTGTTCAGGGCTAGGGAGGTAGTAGTGCCACTGGATGCTGTGCTGGTCCAACTATATCTGGAGGATGGTACTCGGTTCTGAATATCTCCTTCTAGGAAGGATATTGAAAATCTGGAAAGAGGCCAGAGCAGGGTGAACAGGAAAAAGAAGTGCTCAGAGTTCAGTCTACGCAAGGATCAGTTGAAGGAAGTGGGAATGGTTAGCCCGGAGAAGAGAAGACTTAGAAAGGATATGATAGTTGTCTTTGATTTTTAGCAAGGCTATCACAAGATTGAAGGAACGTGTTTATCCTGCTTAGCCCCACAGGGTAGAAATAGGAGCAATGGGTAAAAGTTACAAAGAGCCAATTTTAGGTTTGATGTCATAACTGGTATTTATATAGCACTTTACTGTTTGCAAAGAACTTTACACACATCTCATTTGAGCATCACAAAAACCCTGTGAAGTAAATTCTGCATGTATTATTTGAGAAGATGAGGAAAAAGTGAGACAAAAAGAGAGGATGTGTGATGGGCCAGTGATATAATATTCAGCTGTTATCAGAGGTGGGTTTTAAACCAGGTCTGTCTGGCAGGTCCAGCACTCTAACCAGCAGACTATCCTGCCTCTTTATAAGAAAAAACTTCCTAAGAATTGGAGCTATTCAAAAGGCTAATGGGTTTCCTTGAAAGGATGTAGGTTTCCCCTCACTAGAAGCCTTCAAACAAAGGCTGCCAGAGCATAGTGTAAAAGGAATCTTTATTCAAGTGTAGGTTGACCTACATGGCATCTGAGGTCCTTTCCAATTCAGATTTTATGATACTGTGAAAAGTAGCATCGCACCAGATTAGTGAGGGCCTTGGAATCCAGGCAAAGGAATTTAAACTTTATAGTCAGTAGGGGACAACTTGAGATTTTTGAGCAAAAGAGTAACATGCCCCGATCTATGAATCTTCCTTAGAAGATTAGTCTGACAGAGATGTGAAGGATGAATTGCAAGGAAGAAAAATGGAGTCAGGCAGGTCTGTTGGGCAACTATTACAGTAATCCAAGTGAGTGGTTCTGAAGGTGTGAATTAAGATGGTGGCAGCCTATAGAGAAAAGGAGATGGATTCAATACATATAATAGGAATAGAATCAGTACCCACTTAGTAAGTAATTGGATATGAGAAATGAAGGGCAAAGAAGAATCAAGAACACCAAGGTTTTCAACATGGTAGGTTGAGTGAATGGTGGTGTCCCTGACAAAAACAGTAATGCTAGAAGGATAAAGAGGTGCAGAGAAGGGAAACAATAAGTTGAATTTTGAACATGTTGCATCTGAAGTGCTGGTAGACCATGGAGATGGAGATGTCAATCCAGAGCTAAGAAGAGAGGCCAAAACAGGAAGCAGAGTTTGGGGAGCCTCTGAATAGAAGGGGTAGTTAGAGCTGGGGGAATGACTGAGATTGGCAGTTGAAGAGAAGAGGCTCAGACTAGGAGAGACCCTTAGCAGAGCATCCACATTAAAGTACGAGAAAGAGAATAAGGAACCTGCAAAGGAGACAGGTAGGAAGAAAAGATGATTTGTAGCTGAGTAGAGAAAATTAAAGCCCCAAAGTGAAATGTGTCAAGATTTAGACTTATCAATTGCTAGTGCCTCCCCTTATAAAATCTTGTATTTATTTTGCATTTACTCATGTTTACACATAAGATGATAAATCTAGAGGTCAAAGGGACCTAAGAGCCACATGATCTAATGTCCTCATTTTACAGATAAGAAACGTGAGACCTGGGAAGGCTAAATGACTGGCCCAAAGTCACACATGTTCTGAAGTAGGTGTCAGTGGTGAAATTTGAACTCAAATCTTCTAATTCAAAAACCAGAACTGCTTCTACCATATCGAATCCTCTAATAGAATATAAGCTCTTTGAGTTTAGGGACTATTTTATTTTTGAACCCTCAGTGCCTAGTATAGTGCTTAGCCATAGTAGGCACTTAATAAATATTTACCAATGTATTTATTTATTATAGTTTCATAGGTTAACATTACAGATAGTTTTGGGAGTCATATGTGTAGATGTGATAGCTGAGGCCATGGAAGTAACTAATATTTCAGAGAGAAGGAGGGAGAGAGGGAGAGACAGAAAGAAAGAGGGAGAGAGAAAGACAAAGGCAGAGACAGAGATGGAGACAAAGAGACAGAGAAAAACAGATAGACAGAGATGTGAATAGGAGTTTAAGGGGTAGAAAGGAAGAAATGGAACCAGTGGAAGAGACAAGAAAGGGAGTAATTGGAAAGGTACAAGAACCAAGATACTATAATGTCTCTGAAATAAGATTACCAGGGCATGACATGGAGAGAGTGAATGATGAGGAAGTGAGAAACATTAAATATAGCCAACTTTTTCAAAAATATGGAGATCCTAGAGGAAGAGAGAGATGGAATGAGAGTTGGATGTAATAGAAGAGTAAAGGAAAGAATTTTTTCAGGATGGGGAAAACCTAAGAATGTTTGTAAGCAGATGAGAAGCCAATGGGGGCAGATGGAGTGAGGAGGGTTGCTAGAGGAAAAGGAGGGGATGAGATCAAGGGCACAGGTAGAAAGATTTGGTTTAACAAGAGTATGAATACACCTCCTGATAGAAAGGTGATGGACTAATATACAAGATGACACACATGTTTTTGGACATGGCCAGTATGGGAATTTGTTTTGCTTGACTTTGCACACTTGTTATAGGGGTTTTCTTTCTTATTTTATTGTTGTGGTTTTTGGGAGAAGAGGGGGAGGTGGACGGGAGATAAAATAAATGCTTGTTAATTGAAAATGTAAAATTTAATTTGAAAATCTAAAACAAGAAATATCTCTTCCTGAAAGAAAGAGAGAAAAAGTAATGGATATGTTTACTGAAGCTGAAGATTTTTGAGGAATAGAGGAGAGGAGGTGAGGAATGTTCCCACTGCATGATCTTAATCTTTCCAATGAGAATGCTAAATCATATGCTTTAAGTGTAGAAGGTAGGATGTAATTGGGTATTTGAGGAAAGAAGAAAAGGCATGGAATAATTGTTAAATGAGATAGAGTCAATAATAACAGAGTAAGATTTCCAAGCTACATTGAGAGCCAAGTTGAAGTTATACAATAACATAAATTTATAATGTGTGAAATCAATTCTATTCATGACTTCTGCCACTGACACTCAGCTGCCCAAGAGCAGGAACAGAAAATAAAACTAATCCTTCTCCCACATGATAACTCTCCAATATTGTGGGGGTTTTTTTGTTTTTGTTTGGCTAGGCAATGAGGTTAAGTGACTTGCCCAGAGTCACACAGCTAGTAAGTGTCAAGTGTCTGAGGACAAATTTGAACTCAGGTCCTCCTGACTCCAGGGCCAGTGATCTATCCACTGCACCAGCTAGCTGCCCCTTCTCCAGTATTTTGAAAACAGCAATCATGTTTTCTCCACCCCATCCCAACCCCCAATGCCTGCCTAATCTTTTCTTTTCCTCTTCAGGCTAAATATCCGTAATTCCCTCAAATATTCCTCCTATAGCACAAGTCCCAGTCCTCTTAACATCTTGTCCCCCTTCCTCAGAACACACTTCGGGTGGTCAATGTCCTTCCTAAAATTCTAGCCTGAAACTAAACATAACCCAGCCTTTCTGTTTCTTTTTTCCTCAGGCCAAGTATACTCCTTCAGCCAGCAGCCCCAAGACCAAGTGGTGGTGTCAGGACAGCCAGTGACCCTGCTCTGTGCCATCCCAGAATATGATGGCTTTGTCCTCTGGATCAAAGATGGCCTGGCACTGGGTGTAGGCCGGGATCTCTCACGTGAGTGTGCCTGGATCTTCTGTGGGCTCCAACTCAGCAGGGACAATACGCTGTCCTTTCTCTGTCCCGTCTAACTGCTCACCGTGCCTCTTGCACCAATATCTATAATCCTTTGTGGGGCTCACCGATGCTTACTTACGCTTTGAGTGGGGAGCAGCAACTCAGAACCGAGTTAAGCAATCTTAGGGTCTGGGAGAATTGGGAAAGGGAGGGAGGAAGAAAAGGAAGGGGGAGGGAAAAAGAGAAAAAAGAGCGAGAGAAAGAAAGGAGGTGGGGAGGGAGATAAAGAGAGGGGAAAGGAGAGGGGGAGAGAGAGAGGAGAGAGAGGGGGGAAAGAAAGAAAAAGAATAAGGGAGAGAGGGAGGGGGAAAAGAAAGAAAGGAGAGGGGGAGGGAGGAAGAAAAGGAAGGAAGAGGGAAAAAGAGAAAAAAGGAGAGAAAGAAAGGAGGGGAGAGAGATGAAGAGGAGAGAAAGGGGGAAAAGAAAGAAAAAGAATAAGGGAGAGAGGGAGGGGGAAAAGAAAGAAAGGAGAGGGGGAGGGAGGAAGAAAAGGAAGGAAGAGGGAAAAGAGAAAAAAGAAGGAGAGAAAGAAAGGAGAGGGGAGGGAGGAAGAAAGGGAAGGAAGAGGGAAAAAGAGAAAAAAGAGGGAGAGAAAGAAAGGGGGGGGAGGGAGATAAAGAGAGGGGAAAGGAGAGGGAAAGAGAGAGAGGAGAGAAAGGGGGAAAAGAAAGAAAAAGAATAAGGGAGAGAGGGAGGGGGAAAAGAAAGGAGAGGGGGAGGGAGGAAGAGGGAAAAAGAGAAAAAAGAGGGAGAGAAAGAAAGGAGGGGGAGAGAGATGAAGAGGAGAGAAAGGGGGAAAAGAAAGAAAAAGAATAAGGGAGAGAGGGAGGGGGAAAAGAAAGGAGAGAGGGAGGGAGGAAGAAAAGGAAGGAAGAGGGAAAAAGAGAAAAAAGAGGGAGAGAAAGAAAGGAGAGGGGGAGAGAGATGAAGAGAGGGGAAAGGAGAGGGAAAGAGAGAGAGGAGAGAAAGGGGGAAAAGAAAGAAAAAGAATAAGGGAGAGAGGGAGGGGGAAAAGAAAGAAAAGAAAAGAAAGAGTGAGAAAGAAGGGAGAAAGGATTGCTCTGAGTGATCAATTATTAAATAAATATAATGTTGTCTTATAGAATCTAGTTTCAACTTCAATGTAATGGACCTATAAATGTTAGTTATATTTTAGGAGTCAGGGGTATCCCTATTCTTGATGACCAGGGTCAAAGTCTCCATGGAGTTTCCCTTCTTCTAAATGCAGACCCAGTATTTTGGAAGGCAACATAACATAGTTAAAGGATTTTTGAGCTGGAAACTAGGAGAACTGGATTCAGGTCTTGTCTGTGTCACTAACTGCGTGACTTTGGTCACAGCATTTCACCTGTACATTTATATTTCAAGGTGGGAAACATGGTTTAGTGGGTAGTACCCTGGACTTGGATTCAGGAGAACTAGATTAAAATCCTGCCCGGGACACTTAGCAGCTGGGTGTCCCTGGTCAAGTCTCTTAACTTTCCTGTGTTTTACCTTGCTAATCTGTAAAATGGAGTGGGGTTCAACTTGATGACCTCTGAGGTCTCTTTCTGCTCTAAATCTGTGATCTTCTGGTCCTATTACTTCAATAGGTCTCAATTTCTTCATATAAATAAATAATGTGAAGAAATGAGACGAAATTATCTCCAAGATTCCTTTCAGCTCTGAGAGTACAAATTGATGCTGTCCTGATTTAAAAAAAAAGAAAAAAGCAATAGCATCATGGGAAGCAGCAGGGTGTAAATGAAATAGAATTGAATTTGAGAGTCACAAGACCTGAGCTTAAACCTTATTTGATACACTTACTAGCTTCCCTCTGAGATTATCTCCAATTTTCATACATACATATACATTTACATACATATTATTTATACATAGTTGTTTATATGTTACCTACCCCCACTAGACTATCAGCTCCTTGAGAGCAAGGATTATTTTTTGCCTGTCTTTGTATCCCTCGGTCCTAGCACGATGCCTGGCATATAAGAAGCACCTAAAAAGTGCTTGTTGACTGACTGATAGCTATGAAACTACTTAATTTCTCAGAGCCTCCGCTTCCCGATCTGTTAATGGGGATATTATCATTTGTTCCCCTTATCTCCCAGCGTTCTTAGAAGGAAAGTGTTTTGGGCAGCGAGGTGGAGCAGTGGATAGAGCACAGACCCTGGAGTCAGACCAGACATTTGACACTTACTAGCTGTGTGACCCAGGGCAAGTCACTTAACCCCAATTGCCTATAAAAAAAAATTTCTTAACAAAAAAAAAAAAACAAGGAAAGTATTTTGTAAATCTTAAAGTGTTATATAAATTTGAGTCATGACTATAATTATCTGTGTAACTGTAGACTTTTAACTTCTCTGGGATGACTATGTGATCTTTAAGATTCCCTTCCATCTCTGATATGCTGTAAATTTAACTCTGTACCAACTCTAGCATTAACAGGTTGGATTGATGTTCAACTAACTTGTATGTCAGATTCCCCTAATTTGCTCTTTCTTCCACATAATTACCCATAGTCTTACCTTTTCCACCTAAATATCTCAATTTCCCCTAAGCATTCCTAGATGTATAGTAGTTAGGGCACTAAATTTGGAGTCAAAAGGTGTCATTTTTTTCCAGGCCTTTGTTTTCCCAGCTACAAAATGGGGGGATTGCATTATATATTTTCCAAGGTCCTTTTAGCTCTAATTCTCTGCCAGTGGCTCTCAAACATTTTGGTCTCAGGACTCTTTAACATTCTTAAAAATTATTGAAATCTCCCCAAAGAGACTTTGTTTTTGTGGGTTATATTTACTATATTAGAAATTAAAACTTATTATAAAAATAATTTTGGACTCCCGAAAGGGTGTTGGGATCCCCAAGTGTGCTCAGAACACACTCTAAGAATCACTGTTTTGTGCATTCCATCAAAGAATGTGTCCTACTCATCATACTCATTGGTGATTTTCACAGTGTGCACACATCTGAGAAAGACACAGAAAACATCTTGGCAAGTAATTTGCCAAACCTTGAGCTGCCCACCAACATCATACAGCACCTCCTTTCCACTTGCAGTAAAAGAAGTTGAAAAAATCTCTCGGCCACTTTGTTATTACTGAGTTGTTTCAGTCATGTCCGACTATTTATAACCCCATTTTGGGATTTTCTTGGCAAAGATACTGGAGTGGTTTGCCATTTCCTTCTCCAGGTCATTTTATGGATGAAGAAACTGAGGCAAATTAGGGTTAAGTGAGTTGCCTAGAGTAACACAGATAGTAAGTGTGTGAGGCCAGATTTGAACTCAGGAAGATGAGTGTTCCTGATTCCAGATCTAGCATTTTATCCACTGTTAAGGGCTGTTAAGGAGTCCCCTGAATTTGCCTTTTTTGAGTTGCCAAATTGCCCAGAGACCCTGCATAGTAGAGGCCCTGAATGTGTAAAGGGGATGAACCCCACCTCCATCCCCAGCTGACATCATTTATTGTTTGCAACCCAAGCTGGATTCCCTGTGTGTCTTTGGGATGCAAAACAGGTGCCACCCAGTCTGTGCCAGGCTAGGGAAAATGCTTGTGCAGTTGAAGTCCTTTTGCAAATAGCAGAACCACCTATCTTCACAGTTTAGCAGTTCCCAAGGGATAAAATTTAGGCTTTGCCATCGCCTCGCTCCTCCCCTTTGGGAGGGGTTACTGCACCTTTTTGCTCCCATGCCATGCCCCTTCCTGATATCTCCTCCTTCTTTTGTTGTACTGTCAAAAATATGCAAACTTCTGTAAGGACCGGGAACTCTTTGGGTTCCACATGCCTGTTCATTTCTCTTATAATAAACCTGGTCTTCCCATAAGTTTCATGACATTGTGATTGCCTGTTGACACCACCACGCTACCTAGTTGCCCACTTACTCAGAAAAAATAACAACTGCCCCTTGGGATGAGTAGGTGAGTGACCTTTTTCAAACTGCTGGTTTGCTGTGCATCCACCTAATACAGCGGAACAGAGAATGAGGCATCTCTGGCTAAGAAGTAATTCTGCCTCCCACAGGGTATACTGCTGCAGAAAAAAAATAATAATAAAAAATAAAGTGCCTTCAGGAACACGATGGCCAGAAAATTAATATTTTAAAATGAAAGTTATATCTTGCCAGAGATATATGTTGAAACATTAGAGCAATGGTCAATATATTCACAGGATCTGAATGTTACAGCCCAACTGAGCATGGAAAAAATACATAATAATCTCTCCAAAATATACTGTCTGTTGCCATAAAGTTTAAGTAGTATGGAAACCAGCCAGTCTCAAAGAATCTGAACTCCCTCTACCACCCATAACTGGGGAAAGAGACATTCTTCCCAAACCCCAAATAGCTGCCCTGGGCTTGGCCTGGCATCATTTACTAATTAAGGAATCTGTATTCCTTGCCAGATGTTTTCAACCAGACTGGGGATGACCTAAGGTTGTAAATGGGCAGACTCAAGGAGACTATCTGGAGGTCAGTAGGGACAAGCCACATAATAAATAACCTAATTACATTTAAATTTATATAGCACCTTGGGCAGCTAGGTGGTGCAGTGGAGAGAGTACAAGGCCTAGAATCAAAAAGACTTATCTTCCTGAGTTCAAATCTGGTCTCAGGCGCCAGCTATGTGACCCTGGGCAAGTCATTTAGCCCTGTTTGCCTCAGTTGCCTCATCTGTAAAATGAACTGGAGAAGGAAATGGCAAACCATTCCAGTATCTTTGCCAAGAAAATCCCAAAATGAGGTCATGAGTAGTTGGGCATGACCGAAGTGACTCACTAACCACAAAGAGACCAAGAGGATTTTTCACTTTCTTTTACTGTGATAAATGAGGAATTGCCTCTGAAGGAAGGCACTGAGATTAAGGAGGATCGGGAAAAGCTTCTTGGCAAAAGTGAAAAGGAAGTGGTCAAGAAGTTTTGTAACTAACACTTGAAGAAAGCCAGAT